GTGTAGCTGTTTCCCAGCCAGCCCTGCACACTCCCTCCTGGCCAAGGTGATTACCACACTTGCAAATTTACTTAACCTGTTAACTGCCTGTGTTACACCCACTATTGAACCAGCTAAAGTCCAAAATTAACTTTAGATCCTTAACTAATGTCCAGTTTAAACAAACAAACCACACACAAACACACACACGCAGGAAATGCCCACTCAAAAGAGAATGCCTCTTGATTTCATTTTTTCTTGTTTTATTTGATTAACTCAATAGTCCATTCCTCAGTGGCTAGGAAGAGGAATTTTCTTGTGTTTTGTTTTGCATCAAATACTGAACAGAGCTTGACCTTCTTATAGGACAGAAAATTAGCTGGTTAACGTTGGAGACTGAATATGCCGCCAAAGTAAAATACTTTAAATCGTTTCTGGAATGAGGCAAAGTTAAATAAATACATCAAGAGTGAGGTTGGCTGAAGGCATCTAGCATTTTATTAACTTTTTATGACCTCTGTATCACAAGATTAGCGTTAACTACTACAAAGACGTAGAAATAGATTTTCTAGTTAACACAGCGTATGGATTAAAGTAGAGCTTCCAGAGACAAAGAATCCCAGGGGTGAAAAATGCCGTATTTGCTCAGTGTTGGACCCCCCTGGGGCAAAGGCAGGGCACTGTCCCTCTGCCCGTTGTATTTCTGTTTCCCATTGTTGGGAAACACTTTGGATTGCATTTTGCTAGTGAGTCTATAGTTTTCAATGTTTTAAAAATCTCAGTTACTATATGTAAAAAAAAAAAAAAAAAAGTGTGGTTCCAACAGAACTCTGCAGTGCACTTAGTTACATGCCACAATGAATTTCAGGCAATTTCTGGCACCAGAAAATGGGGCTGCGCTAGGTAAAGTAGCTATTATTTAAACACTCCTCGTTGTGTAGGCCATTTTAGTAGTGACCGTAGCTGCCGTATATGTTCCAGGCAGAATGCTGGGTGCTTTACCTTGATGATAATTGATAGTAACAAACTCTCAT